GAGGTTTCTCTTCATCAGTGGAGGGTGTCCTAGATCCCACCTACAAGATGTTGATGACACACTGGACAACTCATGGTTGTTTCTAAGGTGTTTTGAGCTATCGATAGGCGTCCAGTAAACCTCGCTAGGATTAAGATGATGGGGGGTTATGACGAGAGAGAGAGAGAGAGAGAGAGAGATTTCGAGGAGAGCGAAAGTACCAGAGGGAAAGAGGTGGAGAAGAGATTTTAGAGGCAACAGAGTAGAGAGAGAGAGTACTGAGCACCTGAAGAATGCAAAGAGAGAGTACCAGAATGCACATGTATTATGCACTAATACATGTTATAGGGAGGTTTTGAAATTACAGTTTGGAGAGAGGGGACTGATACCAAGTAAGAAAAACCATAATGTTGAGGAAGGGAAGCTATGTAGCAGTGATGAAGATGGCTTCAAGGGTGCTTGGTTCACTGCAATTGCGACGAAAATGGTGAGTGACGATGAGAAGGAACCATTGGTTGGTCAGAAATAAGCCTTGTGAGTGATGATGAGAAGGAACCATTGGTTGAAACTGTGGAGATTGTCAATGAGAGGCCATTGCCTCCCATTCCTAGTAAACCACATGGTCCCAAGTATGTTGTATATTTTAGGAACCCTCGCGAAGAGATAATTTTTTAGTTCAATCAGTTGAGGGTTGATCAAGATTTTATTGATGGCCATGGCTTCACAGGTATGCCCTCACTCTTTTCCCTTTTAAGCCCCTCTTAATGTTATACATTGCCTTCATTTTCTTCATCCTCTCTCTCTCATTAGGGATTAGGCATGCAAGGTTCATAATCATTTCTCTCTCTACAAGTGCTGGCTTGCAATCTCTCTTTGGGCTGTGAAGGTCTATCTTCTTTCTCTGTATCTCTTTCTTTAGTTTGGATTTCCAACAAAATGAATGCGCTCTTCTTCTTTCCTTCTATATTCCAATTTTTGCAGCAAAACAAAGTCATTGTTCTTTCTCTTTCCTACTCATCGAGGGCTCAAGCCTATAGGCTTTTAAACACTGTTTCCACACTCCGGCAGAGTTACTTGGACGTGACGGAGAGTTACTTGGACATGACGGAGGTGAGTTTGCCCCAAGTGCATTGTACAATGAGAGAACACATACTTTCTTTCTCTCTAAATCACACTGCTCAAAAAAGTTCCCTGCCTTTCTCTCTCTCTAAAAACAGTGCATGGCCACCTTCTTTCTCTCTCAAAACAGGGCAAAAGCTTTGCAAATCATCCATCTCATCAGATTTTGGGCTCTGATTTGAAGGAGCAAAGGCTCTTAAAAGTGTGGCTTTTAAAGGTAAGGACTCTGAGTTGGTCTAGATTGGTTTGGCCTAACATCAAATTCCTGGGACTCGAGGACGAGCCCTGTGGCGGTTTAGGCATTGCCTGACCATTTGCAGTGGTAGATGGAAGCTTGTTGGGAGTATCTAGGGTTTGTTTTTAGGCTTAGAAGGGCCACTACATCATTTGTTGCAGAGGTGAAATGGAGAGGGACGGTGGACTGTGAGAAGGACCTCTACAAGTTAAATGGAGAGAGAGAAGGTGGATTCTCTCTAATTGAAGTTGACTCCACCGAGTTTAAAGCCTTACCTTGGTGGGAAGGCGGCATCTCGCCGACCACATAAGCCCCCTAAAAACATTTAGATAATTTTTTTAAAAAAAATTACAATGGAAATGATCAATATATTGTTTTGAGATGAATTTCTAGATGATTTCAATAGTTTTTAGGATGATTTGTGATCTTTCGGAATTTGTTTCCTTTATTTAATTTTTCTAAAATGGTCTAGTAAGGGTAAGGTCTTTAAATTTTCTTTTAACCCTCCCAAGCCTAGGTAAAAGAAATGAGTTGCGTTAAGTTGGCAGCCATTGTAAAACTTCGTCACATGTTATCATGAATCGTGAACCTATATTATGTTTTGATCTTACTAAAGATATAGCTTTTGACAGAGAAGAATGGAAGAACAAGATTCATGTAGTCAACCCCAAATCATTGGGATAAAGCTTTGGAGTTGCTCGAAAGTTCCATTTGCTTAGATGAGACATGGTTTACGCCCCAAGAGTGGAGGTTTGGGCATTCGCAAACTAAAATTCATGAAGGAGGCTCTACTTTGTAAATGGTGGTGAAGGAGTGTCCAGCGTTCAAACCAGCTTTGGTTTCAAGTTTTAGCTTCCAAATATAGTAGGGATAGGTTTGGCATGTGGTTAGAAGGAGGCCAGCTCAGTGTAGCCTCATTTATGTGGAGGCTTACAGGTGTAGGTCTATGATTGCTAGCCAGTTCCATTGGAATATGGGGAATGGTGCCTCCGTTTCTTTTTGGCACCATAAGTGGTTAGAAGATGTCCCACTGAAGCTAAACTACCCTGACCTTTTCGCAAAGGTTCTTTTAGCGAATGCCATGGTTGCTGATTTGGTTGAGTGTATAGGCTCCAACGTTGTTTGGAATATTTCCTTTCCGTATAATCGTCTTTCTGGTGAGGCTTTCAATGAATGGCTTCATCTGTTGGCGTTATTGGAGCAGGTTTACATCTCTCCTGGCCACCTTGACGAACTCATTTGGAAACTTGAATACAATGGTATTTTTTCGGTCAAGTCTTGTTATAGGTTGTTTTTCCATGACAAATGGCGTTGGTCTCTACCTACAGCAGCCAAAGTTTGGAAATGGCACATCCCCCATAAGGTGCAGATTTTTCTATAGCTTGCCATCCAAAATAAGACTTTGACTATCAGCAATTTGATAAAGAGAGGTAAATTGTTACTAAATAGCTATCTGATGTGCAAAATGGACGAGGAAATGGGTAATCACCTTTTCATTCATTGTCGGGTAGCCTCCAAAATCTGGTATTGGTTTTTTGGATTACTTGGGATTCACGCCCCCATTCCTATGACAGTTGTGGATATAGTGTCTCAACTCGCTTTTCCTCATTTACCGGCCAGTGGCTGTACGGTCTGGCAAATTGCTAGAGGGGCGGTGTTTTGGGAAATATGGAAAGAGTTTTGAGGGGGTAAATCTCTCGGATGCCCGGCTGCTCGACAATATCAAGCTCCTTATGGCATTGGTTATCAGTCACCAAGGTGGGGTGGGGCCTTTCTCTCTCAGATGTTATACTAAATCTACCTAATCTTTTCCTAGTGGGTAAAATCAAGATGAGACCTCGGAGCTTTTGGTCACCACCAGGGGAGGGGTATCTCAAATTGAACTTTGATGGTAGTGTGCTAAGCAATCCTGGTTTGGTTGGTATTGGGGGGTCTTGCGCAATAGTTTGGGGGAGATTATCTTCTCATATGCTGCCCCCTCAACACAGCCACAGCTAATCATGCAGAGCTTTGTGTCGTTATTGCAAGGTTTAAAATTTTTCGTCTTTAAAAACCTTGGTTGTAACTGTATTATTGAAGGTGACTCCTTAAATATGATTGGCTCGTACAAGAAGGAACGACGTATCCCCTGGAAGCTTAGGTCTACTTGGATGGAAATCGTAGAGCTATTGGCCTCCCTCTCGGTTTCTTTTTCTCATGTGTAGCGCAAGGCTAATTCTTTGGCTGATTCCCTTGCTAAAGGCGGGGCTTTTTTGCCTTCTCTATTGTTCTCTTCCGATGTAATATCTTTTGATTAGCCACTTTAATAAAATTTTGGAACCTTTGTCAAAAAAAAAATGATGATCTAAAATTTTATGATCCACCTAAAAGGGTGCGGTTTGTATAGAGCCTAAGCTCTAAACAATCAAATTAGAGCCTACCATCAAATAGTGTTAAAAAACTTAAAAATAGTGTAGATTGACAAATCAATGAAAACTTAAAAATCTTGAAAATTGACGGTCCAAAAATGCATTACAAAAATATACTATTTTCGAAACTTGAAATCTCTTATTTTTTTTCATATCCATGCATCTTAATGTCGAGATGATCAATTTAAAGATATTTGGGCATCAAAACAACCTCTTCTAATGAAATTTTTGAGGTAAGCTCAAATTTGATTGTTTAGAGCCTCCACTCTATATAAACTTTTCCCCCACCTAAATTACCATCTGATGATTTTAAAAAGAAAGAAATTTTGAGGTCTTAAATACTTCAAATTACAATACAATTATTTTAAAAAGAAGAAATTTTGAATTCTTAAATACTTATTATTTTTATTTTATTTTTAAGTGAGAAAAGAAGTTGTAACCACCTTTTCCTGGAGAGGAATGAGAGGCAAGCACATTCCTCAAAATCAAAGGTGGAATCCATGTAGGGAGCTTCATGAGAAGGGGAGAGGGGAATAAGCTCTCTCTCTTCACTCGTCGTGCTGCCACTAAAGCAAGAGCAATTAAGGAGTTAGGGATTCGAACCCCAAACCTATTGGTTGAATTAAAGGGTAGAGTGCCACCAGTTTAGAAACTTGAAGATATTAAGAACTCGTGCTGTAAATTTTGTACCCCTAATGTACACGAAGCAATTGCCTTCGAATGTTGAAACTTCAACAGGTAGAAGTATTGTTGAAGGGAAATCTACATGGCAGTTTGTGATAGAAATCCTCAATGAGCAAATTTCCTTTTTATAGATTATCAAAATATCCTTGGATGAAAATAAAAATTAAAGATAATGAAAATTTGTCCAAATTTACTCAAAAGGAAAATTGTTTCATGTAGGCTGGACCGCATTTCTACATATGCACTCCCGAAAGTGTAAAGCATCCATTTTAAAAATGGATGCAAGTAGATGTTCCATCTAATGTAAACTAACAGTCCAAATGTTCTTATACTAGAATTATTATTTCTAGTTTTTAAAATTTATTTATTTATTTTATATTCATGATTACATGTCTTTAAAAATTAAGTCTTAAAATCCATCTCAAATGTATTTCTACATATGCAGGATTGGTTGCATAGAAACCAGGTCCTACGCAAATGTTTAACTCTTGAACATTTGGGAAAGTATATAATGAGACTATTAACCTTTGGTACAAGGAGGTTACAATTGATCTTAACCACTAGATGTTGGTTTTCTGAGCTTTATTAAATTATATAAAAAAACTGGGTAAGATTAAATAGCTCGTGGAAATTTTTTATGAATTTCCAAAAAATTAAAAATAACCCCTTTCTAAAAGAAGCCCCTCACTGTGCAATAAATGACCAAAAAGCCCATGATTTTTTGTTTTATGAAATAAATAGCCCATCATCCTCAGATCTTGACTGTGCTGAAGCCTGGTTTCTTTACCAGGCCCATTTCCCCTATAACTCCCCTAACCTTAGCTACTTCGTCCCATCTACCAGCCATGGCATAAGTGTTCGACAAAAGCGCATAATAGCCACAATGCTGCGGTGCCAGCCTCGAAAGTTTTTCACTTGCAATCTCTCCCACCTCAACTTTCCCATTCATCCTACAACCACCAAGCAGAGCACCCCAAGCACTCTCCAACTTCAGCCTCTCTCCGATCTCCATCATCATCTCATAAGCTTCCTCGACCTTACCTGCTCGAGAAAACATGTCAACCATGCAGCCAAGATGCTCTGAACTAGGATGAATTCCATACTTTTCTATCATAATTCTGAAATATTTACACCCTTCTTTGATCAAACCTGAGTGGCTACAAGCTGATAATAGGTTCACGAAGGTGATAGAATCAGGGACATAGCCATCATTTTCCGCATTCTCCATAAGATGACATGCTTCTTTACCATATCCATGAATTCCACAGGCGGCTATCATCACATTCCAGGAGCTTGTTTCTCTCACTGGACCAAACTGATTAAAGAGATGGTGGGCTGAATTGAATGACCCACATTTTGCATACATGTCCATGAGAGAGTTAGTGACGAAGTTATCGCACTGAAACCCACATTTAAGCACTTGGGTATGGATTGATTCACCCAGTCTTAGGTCCCCAGATCTTGCACAGGCTTGCAGGACTCCAATAATGGCAATGGAGGCTTGTTCATGCTGATTTTCATATCTCATTTCGTTAAAAAGCTCAAAAGTTTCTATGGGCAAACCGACTTTTGCATTTCCAAAAATGATTGTGTTATAAGAAACACAGTTTTTCTCATGCATGTTATTGAATAAAACTTTTGCAATTTCCAACCTCCCCCATTTCACATACATGTCCAGCAAGGCATTGCTAACACATAGGCTTAAGGCCATTGAATTCCTCCGAAGAATGAAGCTGTGGATTGACAAACCAAGTCTTGAAGACCCCAAAACAGAACAAGCTTGTAGGATGGCAGTTACAGTAACTGAATCAGGCATATGCCCACTTTGTAGCATCTGATTGAAAAGTCGCAGGCCATCAGAAGCTTGACAATTTAGAACAAACCCAAAAATCATGGCATTCCAAGATGCTAAAGTTGGGTTATCAAGAATCATGAACAACTCGAAACCAGACTCAATGTCCAAGCATTTTGCATACATATCGATAATAACAGTAGCCAATACAAAATCTGAATTTAAATCAAATCCTTGCTTGATAATGAAGCCGTGGATGCATTGGCCTAGCTGCAAATCTCCAAGTCCTATATAAGCAGGAAGTACATTGGCCATGGTTATACAATCAGGTCTCAGGTATGTGTCTTGAAGCATGAGATGGAAGAGCTCCAAAGCTTCGATTTCATACCCATTTTGACAATAACCAGCAATCAGTGAATTCCACGAAACCAAACTTTTATCATGCAATTCCTCAAAAACCTTAGTTGCATAGTCCACTCTAGAGCACTTGGCATACATGTCCATTATCGAAGTTTTGATCCAAACATTTGATAAGAAACCCAAGCCAGTGAGGTGGGCATGGAGGCTTGCACCTGAATCCAAGTTCCTTGATAATCCACATGCTTGAACCAGACCCAACAGGGTCACTTCATTGAAAACCCAAGTTTTCTCTCTCTTCATACTGACAAAAACACCCAGAGCTTCCGTTCCAAACCCATTTTGGCAAAAACCAGAAATCATGGCATTCCAAGAAACTAAATCTCTCTCACCCATGTTATCAAACACTTTCTCTGCTATATCAATTCTCCCCCACTTTGCATACATTGAAATCAATGAATTACACACTGAGGTTTCAGGAACCAAACCATTTCTCAAAACATAACCATGTATTGACATTCCTTCTCTGAAGTACCGTAACTCTGCAGAAGACTGAAGGGCACTCTTAACAGCAAAAGAACATGGTGAAAACCCCAAACCTACCATTCTATTAAACACCATTAAAGCTTCTTCTTCAAAACCATTCAACCCGAATCCCCTGATGATCACATTATAAGAAACAGAGTCTTCAACAGTCATTTCATCAAAAACTTGGACTGCATGTTGAATTCTTCCACAATTTGAGTACATGGCCATGAGAGAGTTACCCACATTGGTTAACCCACAAAACCCAAGTTTTATTACGAGGCCATGGATGCCTGAACCATGGTATGAGCATAGAAGGCCAGAAGAGGCCTTGAGAACCAGTGGAAAAGTGAAAATATCTGGTCTTGTTGGGGTAAATAGGAGATTTCTGAAGAGAGAGAGAGCTTCCCAATAAAACCCGTTCCTCGTGAACCCTCTGATGAGAGAATTCCATGAAAAGATAGTCTTTTGGTATAGGGTTTTGAAGAGAAATTGAGCTGTTTCAATGGAGTTGTGAGAGGAGTAGGAGGAGATGAGAGCGGTGCAGAAGAAGGGGTCTTGTTGGTGGCCAGTGGTTATGAGGTGAGAGTGGAGTTGTTTGAGGGTGGAGAGAGAAGATGGAGATGGGAAGTGCGAGGTGAGACAAGTTGTTGGGTGGGGCGGCCTGTTGGTATCCAGTGTTGTAGGCTAAGCGTTTGCAATCTGGGCACAAACCCATATGAGCGAGAGAAGCTCTTCTCCGGAAAGTTAGGCCATTACCCAGCGTGCCCCACCGTACCCATCAACCGGGGGTTTTGTATGGGTGGGGGTATCCAGAGATGGGTTACGGGAGAAAGAGAGAGAGATGGTTTGGGGGGAGAGCGAACCGGAGAGAGAAGGGTTGAGAGAGGTTCTTAGATCGGGGAGAAAGGCCATGGTGGTTCGGAGGGATAGCATATAGCTTTAGTTATTTCAAACAAAAACAGCTGTTGTGTTTTGTACTTTATAAATCCTATCTGTATTCATATTATCGGATAGAGGTAACTTAAAAAAAAACAAAAAAACAAAAAACAGAGCAACAAGGGCGGCGCTGATACAAACATGATTCTATTTTGTAAAGGTCCCTTAATATAGCTTGTACATAAATTTCTCAAAAAATGATAAGGCCTTGATTTAAAATAAAAAAACAAGGACCCGGTTTCTATGCGGCCAAGCTCGCATATGTAGAAATACAGGCCTATCAATAAATATATTTTTGAGATGGATTTTTTAACTTAATTTATACTATTGCGGCTGAAAGTTTTACTACAATGCTAAATTCTATGGTGAGTAGAAGTCTTAGTTTTGGATTTAATGTTGGTAGACTAACAATCTCTCATTTACAATAGGTAGATGATATTATTTTCTTTTGTAGCCCAGAGGAACAAGAAATAAGGAATTTGTGGGTGTTCTTAGAGTGTATGAAAATAGCAATAGGTATCAAAGTGAATTGAGAAAACAAAATTTTGATTGGGATTGGTATTTTGGATAACGTGGTTGCATCTTTGGCAAAAATTCTTCGATGTAGGGTTGGCAAATTTCCTTGTAAATATTTGAGTATTCCTTTATTTTGAGAAAACCAATCAGTAGTTATTTGGAATCTTATTATTGAAAGATTTAATAAGAAACTAGATCTATGGAAGTCTAAAGTGTTGTCGTTTAGCGGAAGATCTACTTTTATCAACTCTACTTTGTCCAACTTACCCATCTATTTTATATTTATTTTTAGAATGCCAAAACAGGTGATGAAGACTTTGGGAAACATTATGAAATCTTTTTTTTGGGGCAATGTAAGATTGGGGAAAGAACTGAAATTTGTGAATGGAGAAAATGTATACACTTCCAAGAGAGATGGGCGTCTTGGAGTTAAAGTGCTCAAATTGATGAACACTAGTCTATTGACTAAGTGGTGGTGGCACATCCAAAATCAGCAAGATGGCTCATGAGGAGAGGTGCTAAAAGAAAATTATGGAATAGATATATTGACTGGCCACATTAAAAATTCAAGATCTAATGATGGTTTTTCAAGTATTTGGAAATAAATTGATGTATACCGATCATTATATCTAAGCCATGATCGCAAAGTGGTTGAAAAGGGATATCAAACCTTGTTCTGGTTTGATAAGTGGCTGGGAGACCTTGCTCTTCGAGATTCTTTCCTTAAGGTATTCGCCAAAGTCGACAATCCATTGGTCTTAGTGAAAGATCTCAGAGAAGCTGATTTTATTAAATCTTCTTGGAATATTGTTTGCAGAGGTACATGAGGGTCTTAGATTCTTTCTTTCATGAGTTCCAATTGCTTATGAATCTGTTGCATAATTTTTTTTATGTTCCTAATAAAGATGATCTATTGTTGTGGGAACTCAGCTTCAAGGGATTTTTCAGTTAAGTCTGTCTATCGACTAGTGCATGAGGAGAATCACAGAGCGATTGGTCATAGCTTAGCAAGAACATGGATTTTGCAGGTGCTACTGAAGGTTCAGTTATTTTTGTGGATAGTTCTTAAAAAAAAGCTGCCTACGATGGATCACTTTCGTAAGAGAGGTTTCATAATCGTAAGAGAGGTTTCATAATTGTCAATGCTTGTAGGCTACATTTTAGGGATAACGAAAGTGTGAACCATATTATTTTACATTGTCCTTTCACTCTAAGCATGTGGGATTGGTGTAGAAAGTTGTTGAATCTAAATATTCTGATCCTACAAAGCTCAGAGTTAATCCTCTATCAATGGATGAACCCTGGTTTGTCGAAAGTTGACACCGTGCTATGGAGAGCTTTATGGGTGAGCAGTGAGCACTACTTGGAATATTTGGAGTGAGAGAAATAGAATAACATTTGAAGGGACACAAAGTGAGATTGAAGTTTTGGAGTTCAACACCTTAGCAACAACAGCTAGATGGTTTTGAACAAATAAAGATTGTAAGTTTATCCTAAAATCACAGATTTTTTAGAACTCATCTAAAGTTACTAAGATTACGAATGACAGACAGACTTGAAATGCTATTTGGATTCCTCCTCATGAAATTTGCTTAAAACTCAACTTTGATGGAAGCTCGATTGGAAACCTGGGCCTAGGAGGTTATAGTGGTACCATTAGAGATCATAAGAGCAATTCACCTACTCGGGACCATGTGGACATACAACAATGAATAAAGCTGAGGCAATAGCTCTTTCGGAGGGTTTAAAGATAATAAAGAACCTCGGGCAAAAGATGATTGAAGATGATTCAAGCAATGTCATTGCTTGGTAAAAAAGAAAAATGAAGCCACCTTGGAGATTATGCAGCATTTTCGAATAAAACTTGTTCATTTTAAGTAGTGGTTCTTTTGAGTTATCTCATTGTTTTAGGGAGGCTAATATAAAAGCTGATGCTTTAGCAAAGGGTGGTCTGTACCAACATTTATTGGTGGTTACATCCTTTTCTTCTTGATCCTCCTTGTAATCGTTCTTGGGTGAATGAAATTCATAGTAACTGATTTAAAAAAAAATGTTTTTGTAAATCTTAGAAAACTTTTTGGAATTTTTAAGATAATCTTCAGCAATGAAAAACCCCTAAAAATGCATTTTTAAAATTTTTTGGAATTGGGAAGGGGCTAGTAGGAACACGTGGGGCTTTGGATCTAGCCCCACACATGCACCACACCCGCATGTGTGGGACATGAGGCCTATAGGGTCCACACATCACATATAGAGGTGGAATGCCCTCCTTTTCTTTTTATTAATTCTCTTTTTAATTATGAAAGAATTTTTGTTAAAAAAGGAAACCTTGTGGAAATATTTGGAAAAGATTATGTGATTTTATTTCGTGGGAGTATAAAATATTTTATATTCTTTCAAATCTTTGGATCTTTGACTAAATCTTTTTTACTTTGGATTTTCTACAATCTTTTGTGTGAGAAAAGAAGTTCTAGTCAAAATAGAAGATATATTTTGATTGATCTTATCCTAGATGACTAGAAGTGGATGTGGGTAAAAAATTTAGGAGATAAAGTTCCCAAATTCTTCCCTAAATTATGATGGTTGATTCATGTGAAGGATGATTTAGATTTGTTTCTCTCACTTCACAAATTACCTAAATATTCTATAATCAAGAGGAATTAAAATCAGATAGGCCCGAACCCTCTTGAAGGAAATTCATTCTTAACATATAGATATCTAGCCTCTCTCTCCCCTTCTCTCTCCTCCATGCCATTCTTTCTCTCTCTCTAGGCCCTGAGGGCTGGCACACACCACCTTAGTAAGTTTGGGGAGGCGCACCAGCCCACAAATAAAAGAGAGAGACACACCCTGTCCTAATTTTAACCAAAGGAGGTAACACTTGTGGCGTGCCCTACAAAGGTCTAAAAAGAGTCTTAAGAAACCTTCATATTCTTTTAAGCTCTAAAATCCTAGATCTGAACAGGGTATCGGCCCAAGGAAACTTCCCATCAATCACATAATCAGTTGTGGGTTGTACCAAGTCCTATGGTGTGACCACACGTAAAGTCAAGTATGTACTCTCAATTATTCTAAGTAATGGTTTAAAAAACGGATCGGTGACCCGGATCGGGCTTCCAAAAAACCGATTCGGATCGGCAAATCAGCGATCCGGAACGGGAATCGGGTGAATTGGTCAGAATAATGCTTCAAAAAATCCGAAAAAATTATTAAAATTCATTATAAATATTTTTTTTTAAGAATTCAATAAAAAATGAGGGTACTCCATTAAGAATTTTCATGTTTTTGAATGAATATGCGAATATTGATATGTTCTTTCCCTGTATGAACCGTCATTCATCATTTAATTTACATCACACAAAAGGATAAACATATCATTATCGTGGAATAAGTATATCAACATACATGGACTACAATAAAGCATAAAATTAGTATCATATGATCTAAAAATAAAATGATAGACGGCGTTATTATTCTTCTTGATCACGCTGGTGCCATTGATTGAATTCGTTTAACAATTCATTGATTCGATCTAAAAACGAATCGTCGATATTAGCAGGCGTCTGACTATTCCCAAATCCCTGAGTGTTAGTGCTTTGTTGTGTTTCCAATCTATAATCTCCAAAGATTGTCCATCCTTCATGCTCACCTGCACTGTCGTGCTCATCCCTACACTATTGCTGTTGGGACTCGATATGTGAATAAC